CTTACCAGCCATGAAAAGCTGTTCCTCGACCTGTTCATTTATCATGGACTAACATCATTAGCAGAAAAAAACCATCATAAGGAGCCGAAGATTTAAAGATTGTAGGTTTCAAAACAAAAACCTTAAAAATTGATAAAATTCATATACCTACTTGTCCTCTGGTGGATCTTTTCCACTTGAAAATTTGGAAAAGAATGCCATTATTCTGTTTCCCAGAGGAAACAGTTCTGGGCCGCTGAAAGAACAAGTTTGATAACCGCTGAGCTATGTACACATTGTAGAACTGTGGCAGTAATAGCTGCAATTTGCCACGAGGTGGGGGTGTTGCTAAAAGTGATAGTCTTGCTTAATTTGTGGAGACTGTTGTAGAAAATGGGAGGTATTTGCCCTTCTGGACTTAGATATCATATACAATGATGATAACACCAAAAATACATTAACAAGTGTGAGAAGTTCTGAAATGCAGACTTGGAGACACAGATGAAGTAGGTTGCTATCTCTTTTAAAGGTAAAATTTCTCTTTATGGAAAACAGGAACTTAAATAAGTAGCACTATTATGTGATTTGAAGCTTTTATCATCTTACCTAGAGTTATATATTATTATTTGTAGTTTATGAGACAGCTGTTTATTTGGAGGTAGGACCTAGGAACATGCCTTAAAAAATTTAAATGTTCAAAGCAGGTGGTCATCTGCCTACACTTTGATGAACACTTCTCAGTGTAATAACTCAATCTTACATTTTGGTGAAGGATCCCTTTGAAGAATCAATTAAAGCTTTGGATTTTATCACACATCATATTAGATTTAATATCATAAGATTCATGGATTTCAAAGAACCACCATTGTACCTACCATGACAAGAGGATGGCACAGGGTAGGGCTAGATGGATTCTTGCAAAACTTAAATTCTGTGATCTCAAGGTTCTAAGCCAAGAAGAAAAGTGGAAAATTTGGGGATACACACTGTGTTTGAATGAGAATGATGAGAAAGCAGATGTTGTAGGTATATAGGGAGTGGCATAAGAGGGCAAGTAGAAGAGGGGAGGGTATAGCTCAGTGATAGAGTTCATGCTAGGCATCTATGAGGTCCTGGGTTCAATCCCCAGCACCTCCATTAAGGAAAAAAAAAGAGAGGGGGGGGGCAAGTAGAAAGGGTCCTAAAAAGTAGAAAGAGAGGATCCCTCTTCCTCTAATGTACTATATTCCTCATTCCATCTACTTTCTTATCTCTTTCACCTTTGTGCCCCTGTACATGTGTAAATCTCTTAAGATTCGTCTTAATAAAACACTTTGAGAACTCGAGGTTTCAGTTTTTTTTTCTGAT